CTAGAGAAACCCCATCTCTCTCTCCTTTTCTTCCTAAGTGGAAGAAAACTTTCAATGACTCTGTTTAGTCATCTCTTGCAGGTGACAAGTCTGGTGAAGAAAGGTGCAAAGAAAATAACACTTAGTATTGGTGATGGTGCTAATGATGTTAGTATGATTCAAGCAGCTCATGTGGGCATTGGAATAAGTGGGCAGGAGGGAATGCAAGCTGTGATGGCTAGTGATTTTGCTATTGCCCAGTTTCGCTTTCTCACAGATTTACTTCTTGTACATGGACGATGGTCATATCTTAGAATCTGCAAGGTTCCCTCTTTTTTTCTTTTTCTTTTTCTTTTTGCGTTTTTTGAACTATTTCTCGCATGTATTCTCATTCACTTGCTGTTTATGACATTTATTTTACAAGAATTTTAATTAAATGTTTATGTACGTACTTATTCTCTGGCAGGTTGTCACATACTTCTTTTACAAGAATCTTACGTTCACTTTAACTCAGTTTTGGTTCACCTTTCAAACTGGATTTTCTGGTCAAAGATTCTATGATGATTGGTTCCAGTCATTGTATAATGTCATATTTACGGCCCTACCTGTAATAATGGTCGGACTATTTGACAAGGTAATGCATTCTTTCTTACTACTTTGCTCATGGCATGTAATGCTCTACCATTGAAGAGATTACTATAGTTCGTAGAGGATTTCTTTTGTTTCGTTGAGATGAAATCTATCCTTGTACTCTCCCTACAAATTAATATTATATTTTTTGTATTCTTTTTTTCAGGATGTTAGTGCGGCCTTATCTAAAAAGTACCCCGAGCTCTACAGAGAGGGAATAAGAAATGTGTTTTTCAAGTGGAGAGTTGTAACAACTTGGGCCATCTTTTCCGTCTACCAATCTTTAGTCTTTTATTATTTTGTAACCGCTTCCAGTTCCAGCAGTCAATCGGCATCTGGCAAGGTGTTTGGTCTATGGGATATCAGCACGATGACTTTCACATGCATTGTAGTGACTGTGAATTTGCGGCTGCTTATGATCTGCAATTCAATTACTAGGTGGCATTACATTACGGTTGGGGGAAGCATTTTAGCATGGTTCATGTTTATTTTGCTATATTCTGGTATTATGACACCACATGATAGGCAGGTTAGTCTTGTTGCCCTTTTATTCAGTTTTAGTTTTAATTTTACATTTTTCATATAATGCTCACATTTTATTATTCTCTCTTTTGCTGCAGGAAAATGTATATTTCGTCATATATGTCTTAATGAGCACACTCTATTTTTACATAGCTGTCCTCCTTGTCCCTGTCGTTGCGCTTCTTTGTGATTTTGCTTACCAAGGGTAAGCATTCTTCAAACTCTTTTGTGATATTATAGGTAGACAACATCAAGTAATTTTCTTGTTTCTTGAACTTAAGACTCGTAGTGCAATTGTTTTTAGACTAGATCTACGTATGTTGAACCTTGGTCTGTTTTCTCTCGGATCGTAAATTAAAACCCTAAACAATTAGGCATAACCTATCTGGCAGATTTCTTTTTCCAAGATGGGAGTGAATTCTCATTCTGGAATTCCCTCTTGTTTAACAGAAAAAACATCAAGATTAAGATAGTGACTCAATTATTTTTCATTGACAATTTTTTTTTTTTTTTTTTTTTTTTTTTTTTTT